GGAAATACAAGTATTATAATTACAAATGCAACAACAGTCTTCTAAGTCTCTTGTTTTAAATTTTGTCTTCACCTGTAAGTAATTGTACTGAAACTACACCAGCTAGTTCTGTAATTCTGATTAGTTCCCTACTCCTTTGTGTTACAAAAAATTAAAATTACTCGCAGTATTGTGTAAAGACCAAAACATACTATTCCAGAAGAGGTTTTCAGCCCATGACTTAAATTTCCACATTAATGCAAGGGGTCTCTCCATCTCAATATAAGTATTCAGATGAAAGATGCATAAAGTTAAACGTTTACAATCATGCACTACCTAAACTCAGGAACTGAAGAGCCAATGATACAACAAAGTTTAAGAGCATTTCACTGAAACTGGATTCTTCCTTAGTCTGATAAATCAAAGTGCAAGCACTACAAGGTCATAGCTTTTAGTGAACTACTTAAATCAAATAAGCTTCCAAGACTTCATAATATCAAGCACACAAATTATGAAAACTAACTTCATCAAAGTTTAAACACTTATGACACTGATAGAGACAAGTCAGCAATAACTTCCTAGACAGATTTAACTATGTTACTTGTCTAACAAGTTACTTCTAGGCAGCTGCCCAATCACACACTTAAAAAAACTACAAGAAACCTCAATCCCAGTTCACATAAAATGACTTATACATTCTTCAAATGCAATAGTAAATGTACCTAGGGCTTTTGTACCATGCCCACTGTATTTTATTCAAATGCTGAATTTCACATGTACTTACAATATAAACAGTTAGCTGTTTGGTTGATGAGACTAGTCCTTCAGATATTTTCCTTTCATAGGAAAAAGAAAAAATCCCTTTACTTCTTCCAGACTTAAATATTCACCACCTGGTTCTGCATGCAGCCGCCTTCAATCACACACACAACCTTCAAAGTCAATCCAATAAGCAGCCAGTAGATGCCTGGGGTGTGTGTGTGCGCGCGTGTGCGCGCGTGTGCGCGTGTGTGCAGCGTGGAGGAGGAGAAAGTGGCTGAGCTGCTGGTCGGATTAAAAGTAACCGGACTCGTCCTGAGATCGTCCAAGAAGGAAGTGACAGCAGGCGAATGGGAAAAGGCGAACAGCTCACAGCCTTTGTAACATCGCGCAGGGGAAGGGGGAGGCGAAAAAGGGATTCAAACTACACGCCTGATAGATGAGGTGTCCTTTTCTGCTTCGCTCTCTCTTCCTCCCTTTTCTTCTCTTTCTCCGTGTCTCTGTTTCTCTCCCTCTCCCACAATCCCAAATGAATGACTCTCTCCTCCCGAACTGGAGAAATAATCAGTTTCAGTCTTGCAAAAAGGGGGCGGGATCAGATCCCGAAAGCGTTTTAATAAAACAAACATAGAGCAGCAGCAGCAGCAGCAGCAGCAGCAGCTCCTTGCCCCTAGTCTAAACTAGATTGATAAATTGCTCCACTACACTACTTTAATTATGTATATGGTATGCAGAATAAATCACCGAGCATCAGCACCTCAATCAAGCACTTTTTAAATGATAATTGCATCTTGGGTGAATCAATCTTTCCATTCCTGACATTTTGCTAATTTTAGTTTTACGGTGCGGGTAATGGCATATGCCACACGGAAACCTAATGACATCCTTTATTAAGCAGAGCGAAGACAAGGCGGCGAGTCGGTGCGTGTTTCCCCCCTCCTGGCAAGGTACCGCAGCGTGCGGGTGGCCGCGGGACTGGGAGTTGCACACCACCCGCGGCAGCGCATCTGCGGCCGGTCAGCGCGGGCAGGGCCCGCTGCGGAGCAGGGACAAAGCCCGCCCGTCCGCCCGCGGGAACCTGCGGGGCCCAGGGATTCGGAACGCCCCTGCGTGTCGCGCCACCGGCACCCCCGAAGCGGCACCTCCACGGTGGCTTCGCCTAGGGCGGGAAGGGACGGGCGCCGAGAGGGGGCAGTCGGCCCGCGGCCGCCGGCGCAGCCCGGAGGCCGCCGACCTCTGCGCCGCCTCCGCAGCGGAGCAGAGCTGCGGTGCCCTGGCACTTGCCCTCTCCCCACGAGACCTCCTGCCCAGCCCCTGGCACCTTGACCCGGCTCCCCCTCCCCAGCCCTGCGCCTGCTGAGCAGCCCAACTTCCGCAACTCCTCCGGCTGCACGTCCCGCGCAGAGCAGCGGCTGTAGCCCGGCCCGCTCGCCCCCTCGCTCGCATCCCGGCCACGGGCGGAGACGATCTCGTGTCAGACTTACCCGCAGAAATGCAGCATTGAGAGCACGCTGTGTGTGGACAGGGCTTTATTTCTTTGATAGGTTCAATTACTTCTAAAAACGAACTGAAAGGACCGCACCGTATGGGTGTTTGAATTCGGATTAAGCATATGCAAAAATTTGGACCTTGCACATACTTGTTTTAATTTTTATGCAGATAGCCAAGTTTTATGATCCTTTGGGAGCTGCAGGGGAATTTGTAAAGGCACAGAGAATTATTTTTGTGATAAATTAATGTACTGGAAATAGGAACAGCACACGTGATAAAACTAAACGACTGAATTCAAACACAGTGATAAATATATATTTGGGTTATTTTAATACAAGTCCTTGGTCTCTCAGTCTTTTCTCCTAGAAACATCTCATTGGGCCACTGACCTACTTACAAAGTATTTGACAGTGAATAAATACCTTTTCAGTTCAACTGTACTTTTAAAAACATAGATGCTCAAAGCACGGTCAGAGCAAAACAAAGCTCGGGCCGTTCTAACAAGCACCCCCCAATTGCTCTCAACACAAATCCCTAGACAATACTGCCGGTCTCATCACATCCTGGTCTGTCTGGGTGAGAGTGCACAACTCTCCATGGGCAGGCAATGACATGCTACAAATGTACCCACACCAATAATGACAGTGATACTGATGTGCCCAGAGCCACTAGGCAGCCAGATACAAGCCATGCACATTATACACGATGGTGAGAGGCACATATGTTCGGCAATGGCAGCAGAGCCCAAAGAACATTGGGAAAGAAATACTTTCTTAGCCTCAGGTCTGGCGTGAAGCACAGCAGGAAAGAAATACAGAACAGTTACACAGGGTTATACCCTTGCTATGCCTCTTCTGCAGATTTTGGTCTCCCAGCACAGCACCCAGCTATCCAGTAATGTGTGTTTATTCTTAGTGGCAAAAATAGAAAGCTATGTTCAGACTTCACACTTCAGTGCTCTAATTGAAAATGACTCTCATCTGCTTTATTTTGTGCAGGATGTGTAAGTTTTCTGGTTTCTAGTCCTTCAACTGGCAACACAGAACAGGAGCACTGCCATATTTTGAAAGTAATTATTACAGTAGGCAAGTATTTCAGAAAATAGAAGTATACAGCAGTTTAAAACATCAACTACCCCTCCATGTGGGCACTTGTGGTCTAATCTTTTTATAGTTGTGACCTTCACATACTGGAGCACCTTAAAACCATGCCAAGTTTTTGTCACGAGTACAAGTCATCAAATCCATGTAAAGGACATCTTGGTTTTTAAAACAGGATTCAGATGCTAGATGGACAAATAGATATAATGGGAGGGATCAGGATTTGTTACTCATCTCAGGGTTAGATAAGGCATGAATTTATGCAGTATCATTTGAAAGGTTTAGGATTTTTCTTTTCTCTCTTTGGATTACATTAAAAAATCTGGAATAATTTCAATCAGTAAAAAGCCTTTGTTCTGGTGTCTGTACTTGTATCAATTCTCCACAAATGCACCTTTTAAAATTTCTGGAACAAGACTCAAATCTACACTTTTCTGCTGTCCACAATCCATGTGTAGATTTGCTGATATTTTTTTTTCACAATTTACCACCTGAGGCGTGTAATGTTTTAAACTATGAGACATGAGTCAAAATATAGTAATTATAAAATCAGATCTCCAAAGGTTTATTAAAGAGTGTATTCAAGTATCTCTCTCCATTAAAAGTATGATTACCTCAAGGTAACATTTCCTTTGAAGATGATTATCAAAGTCCATTTTTGTTCTTCTGTGAATGCAGAGCATGTTTTTCCCTTAGGAGAAATGAGATTGCCAGCTTACATCCTTTAGTGGTGTTTAAACTGAAAAGCAGTGAGGTTACTATGAAATGATCAACCTTCTTTGCATCTTAACCCTGGGCTGGCTTGGTTTCTATTTTCTGTTTTAAGTTCCGCTCAACCCTATTCCACTCCACACCTCGCTCTCTTCCACCACCTCCCTATTTGTAAGAGCAACACAGTATAACTCTTCTTCCCATGTCTGGCTGCTTTTAAACTTGGCCCACGCTGGGTGTGGCTCTTGAAGTGAGCTTTACAAAATTATTTTAAAGTGAGCTGGGGCGGTTGCCACAGCAACCCACCCTGAGAGAAATCGAGGCTGTAGATTAATCTACCCCACAAGATTATTCAACAGTACTGTATTTGATCTTCATTCATTCAGAATATTCCCTTAGTCCATATGCTTTTATAATGAACAAAAGGATATAAATTCAGATAATTTCAAAGATAATAGGGTATATATTCCAGGAGCACAATTTAATTGCTTTGTAAACCACAGCATTGAGTTGACATGTACATGATTCTTTGCAAAATCATTTAATTGCCAAAAAAAATCTGCAAGGTAGGCACAGCTGACATATTAATTTAAATAAGATGTTATTCTATTACTAAAATAGTGTTATACACATCAAACAAGGATTACAGAAAGCCTTTGTCACAGGTGTACATGTAAATATATAACACAGTGGAGTTTTGCTCTTCCGTTTTTGTTTTGAACATAAATCTAAAAATAATAAACAATACTTAGAAATATTAAATGTAATAAATATTAAATACTCACCACATACACCCTCTTTATTGTCAAAATCATCCGCCTCCAATGCTTTACTTAATCTTTCCCATAGTAGTTACTTCACAGTTTGCAATTCTTGTTCGGCACCTTGGATGTTTAAAAGCACAGAAGTGGCATATTATTAAAAGCATATTATTAAGAAGATTAATGAAACAATTGGTATAAAAGAATATGAATCCTTACTGATGTGCACTTAGGCATATCTCACTTGTAAGTAGCTTGATGTTTTCAGAAGCTTTTGTAAAGTCCTTCTAAATGCTACCTTAGGGATGCTATACTATCAATAAAATTACAAAACTATTGATCACAGGCTGTACTCATCCTCTAGTCAGTATTTATACTTTGACATGCATTTTGGAAAACACAGCTATCTCGTTGTTTAATAATGTTTGTTTAATAGGCCAGGGTGAATTATAAAGTGGAAAAGCTCAGCATATTAATTTCTTCCTTCTTTAAAGGGCAGGTATATGTGGTGCCAACAGCAGGTATTCTCGGGTCTGCTTCTAGGAAGGCTACACCAGGTAGCAGCAGCAGAACTTTTTTTACCCCAAATTCGTTTTTGTCTGCACCTGTTACTGTGGAGAGGGGGTCCCCATTGCAACGACTTGGTCTTGAGGGGCGACCTTTGTGGCCTCTGCCCCAGCCCCTCGCACCTGCACACATCATTGTCCCGGACTTCTCATAATTTATTAATTGACTCGTTGGCTAGGGTCTGGGGTGTCCGTCCGTGTGCGGTGGTCGTGAGTCACGTCAGGAGCAGATACGACACCGGTGCCCGGCTCCGTCTCCTCCGGCAGCGCGGGTGTGGCGGCGCCGGGCGGGGCAGCCAGTGCCAGGGGGTGGCGGGTCACGCCGGCGGTGCCGAGGCTGCGGCCGCCGCCGCCGCTCTCTCCTTGTCCCCGTTGCGACGGGAAGGTGCTGGGGCGGTGCGGGGGCGGTGTGAGGCCGGCCGGGCGCCGGCTGGCGTTGGAGCGGGTGGTACCGGCGACGGTAGGGCTGTTGTGCTTCAGCTGTGGCAGCTCGGGACCGACCGGGAATAGCAAAGCTTTGGGAAGCCCTGACCAAAGGCTGGCTCTGGGGGAGGCTGGAAGCAGAACTCTGCCCCACTCTCCCCCGCAGAACTCCCCCATCGGGCCCCTCCGAAGCGTGTTCAGAGCCTGTGCCCACGGCTGCGACCTCTGGAATAAGAGGGTATCGCTACTGCGGGAGGCCGAAGCGCAGCCTTTGGTGCCAGCGGGACCCGGATTGCCAGTCGTGCCTGCTCAGGGCCAGGCTGGAGCAGGGGCTGCTGCCCTCCAGGCGGGCGGTGGGTGGTGGGTGGTCGGGGCCATGGTCCGGAGCTTCAGAGAGGGCTGGAGTGCCCAAACACATAGTACCGGGCTGAGGGAGCTCCTGCAGCACATGTCAGTCTTGG